GGGGCCTAGGGCGACGGGCCGTAGGCGACGGGGGCCGCGGGGCGACGGGGCCTAGGGCGTAGGGCCGAGGGGCGATGGGGCCGAGGGCGACGGGGCCTAGGGGCGACGGGCCGCGGGGCGACGGGTCTAGGACGACGGGCCTAGGGGCCTAACTGTCGTGACAGGCAGTAGGGGCAGCGCGAGGGCTGCAGAGGGCAGCTAGTGGGGTAGCGCTGTGGTGGGCCCAAGGAAAAAAAAAAACGGTCCTAGCGGAGGACCTGCTCTGAAACCATGTCAGAATAATGAACGAGGATGAATGAACTAGCAAAGAGTTGGGTACAAGTACTAACCCTAATCGGGTTGTACCCCTTATGGGATACCCCACTACAGCCTACACAATGTAAGCTATATATAAGTTTGACATGTCACTGGCAGAGTTTTGGCCACGTTCACCAGGGAGCCGCGCTCCGGTCTCTACGTCCTCCACACCAAGCACTCCCCGGTGTCCACGTCACCTCAGGTCGCTGCGTCCCCCCAGGTTCCTGCGCCTCCGCCGGTTGTCGAGTCCACTCAGGTAGCTGCGTCCCCTCCGGTTGCAGCGTCTGGTCAGGTTGCTGCGTCTTGCTTGTGTCGGTCTTTCACCCACCGGACCGTCCTGTGGCACCACCGTTTTGGCCACCCGTCGATCCCCCGCCTCCGCACTATGGCTAGTCACCGTCTTGTTGCAGGTCTCCCTCGCGTCTTCCCGTCGCTCCCTCCCTCGCCTGCACCCCCGTGCACTCTTTCGTCGCCGGCCGTTTTCGTGCCACTCTGCACTCCTCTCTTCGTCCGGCCACTGCTCCCTTCCAGACACTCCACTTGGATGTCTGGGGCCCTGCACCTACGCTGGGACCTGAGAGGGAGCGCTACTTTCTGGTGGTCGTCGATGACTTCTCCAGGTATACCACGGTGTTTCCTCTCGCGAAGAAGTCCGAGGTGACTTCTACGCTGATCCGGTGGCTTCTAGCCACTGAGGGCACTCGTGGCTGTCGTGTCTCCTGTCTCCACTCTGACCGTGGGGGTGAGTTTCGCTCAGGCATTCTTGCCGGATTCTGCGGTGAGAAGGGCATCGTACAATCCTGGACGCTGCCGGAGTCCCCACAGCAGAATGGGGTTGCTGAGCGCCGCATTGGCTTGGTCATGGACATCGCCCACACGTCCATGATTCATGCCCGTGCGCCCCATTTTTTGTGGCCCTACGCGGTTCGCTACGCCGCTCACCAGCTGAACCTCCAGCCGCGCGTCTCGCGGCCAGAGGCTTCACCGACCAGTCTTTGGACCGGGTCCCCTGGTGTTGGGTCAGCCTTTCGTGTCTGGGGCTGCCTTGCGCTTGTCCACGACACCTCTGCGGACAAGCTCTCGGCTCGCGCCGTCCCCTGTGTCTTCCTTGGTTTCCCGGTCGCCTCGGCCGACTGGTCCTTTTACCACCCGCCCCTCCACCAGTTCCTAGACTCCCGTGACGTCCGGTTCGACGAGTCAGTGTCCTACTACACCCGGTACCCCTGTCGAGGTCTCCCGGTTCCCCTTCCCCCCCTTTTCCTCGCACCCTCTCTTCCCCCTGCTCCTGCTCCTCTGGTACCACCACCCCCCCCTGGTCCTGCCCCGTCAGGTGTGTCTCACGCTACCCCTCTACCCTCGGTTGCACGCCAGGTAGCGTCTCCCTCCCCGCAGTCCTCCTCACAGTCCCCTCAGCAGCCTTCGGCACTTCCGCGACAGGTTACTGTGGACTCGGTTGGTGTTGGAGCTGGAGGTGCGGCCACTGGCGGTACTCGGTCTGGGGGTGCTCGTTCGAGGGGTGCTGGAGCTGGAGGTGCTGGCACTGCGGGTGCTAGTTCTGGGGGCGCTCGAGCTAGGGACCCTGACCCTGTTGGTACCCCTTCTGGGGACACTGGTTCTGGGGGTGCTAGTTCTAAGGCGACTGGAGCTGGGGGCACTACGTCTGCGGAGAGCACTCCGCCTCCCCACCGCCACGACACGCGTTTCCAGGCGGCCTGCCGGCGTGCGCGCGAGGAGCAGGAGCGGCAGGAGTTGCGGCAGTTGGACCTGCTGGAGCAGCAGCAGCAGCGGCAGCCGCAGCAGCTCCCTTTGGAGCGGCAGTTGTTCGCGCCCGTGAGTGGCCTCCGGGCCCTTGGTCTTCCCTCCTCTCCTCCTGTCCGCCCTCCGTCTCTTGCGTTTGGTCCTACTTTTTCTCCTCCTGACGCCCGTCCGGCTGTCTGGTCTCCTCCTCCTGTTGTCCGTTACTACCGTTCCCGTCCTTGTCCTCCGAGTGCTCGTCCCTCGTCTCCCGTTACCGACCTCCATACTGCCCTCCGTTGTACCTCTCTTTGTCGTTCTCCTCCTCCGGTGTCAGTTCTCCCGTCTCCTCCTCCGTCTTCTCTTCCTGTCTCCCCTACTCTTATCTTCGACTACTACCGTGCTGTTTGCCCTGTTGTCTCCCGCGTTCTAGCCACTGGTGTCACCGACCCTCGTTTCTCTCCGTCGTCTGTCTCGGCTCTCACTGCCGCTGTCGCTGACTTTGCCGCCGCTAGCCGTCTTGACTACAGCACTCGTGTGGTGCCCGCTCCGCCTACCCGTCCTCTGTCCGTCGGGGGTGAGTTAGCCCTTGGCTGTGACGTCCTAGAGGACAGGCACTCTGAGCTGGAGTACCTGGCAGCCACTTCTCCCACTCTCTATGCCATGCTGCTTTCCCCTGAGGGAGACCCCGACGCCCTTGACATACCAACTCCTTGCACGCACCGTGAGGCAGAGTCAGGGCCGTGGGCTTCTCAGTGGAAGGCGGCCATGGACTCAGAGTTGGCATCTTGGAGATCAACAGGCACGTACGTCGCCGCAGTTCCCCCTCCCCAGGCGAACGTAGTCGATGGCATGTGGCTCTTGAAGGTGAAGCGGCCGCCTGGATCACCCCCGGTGTTCAAGGCGTGCTATGTGGCGAGAGGCTTCAGTCAGCGCGAGGGAGTTGACTTCTTTCAGACCTTCGCTCCGACCCCGAAGATGACTACACTTTGGGTGTTACTACACGTAGCAGCACAGCGTGACTACGAGCTCCACTCCCTCAACTTCTCCACTGCCTTTCTCCAGGGACGACTGCACGAGGAGATTTGGCTGCGCCGTCCTCCTGGTTTCATTGGTACTTTCCCTACTGGGACCCAGTGGAGCCTGAGGCGACCAGTCTATGGTCTCCGCCAGACGCCCTGTGAGTGGCACGACACTCTTCGCTCCACGCTTCGTGACCTAGGGCTTCGCCCTTCCTCTGCTGACCCAGCACTGTTTGTTCGTGCCGGCTCCACTCCTTTCTTTATACTCGTCTACGTCGACGACTTGGTCTTTTCTACACCAGACAGGGCAGCTCTGGCTGAGGTGAAGTCCGAACTGCAGAAGAGACACACGTGCACTGACCTTGGTGAACTGCAGCGCTACCTTGGCCTGCAGATCACCAGGGACAGAGCCGCTCGCACCATCACATTGACTTAGTCACACATGGTGCAGCAGGTCCTTCAGTGGTTCGGGTTTCAGTTCTCTACCACACAGCCCACTCCTCTTGCTGTAGACCACAGGCTCACCCTGACGAGCCCTTTGAGCCTAGTGGCCCCTACCCAGAGCTTGTTGACTGCCTCATGTACCTGATGACCTGTACTCGCCCGGACCTCGCCTACCCTCTTAGCGTCCTCTCTCGCTTTGTTGGACCTGGGAGGCACTGTCCTGTTCACTGGATGGCTGCCGTGAGGGCGGCGAAGTACCTGGCGACTACATCAGGCATGGGGCTTGTGCTTGGAGGGACTCGGCCAGTTGAGCTGACTGGCCTCTGTGACTCTTCTTATGCTGACGACGTGGAGACTCAGCGCTCGACCCAGGGTTACTGTTTCAGTCTGGGAGCTGGGGTTGTGTCGTGGCGGTCCACACGGTCGTCGTCGGTGGCTTCGTCCAGTGCAGAGGCAGAGATCTACGCTGGTGCTATGGCGGCCCAGGAGCTTCGCTGGTTGACCTTCTTGCTCGCTGACCTTGGTGAGCGACCTCGCACTGCTCCGACCTTGTTCGCTGACAACAAGGCCATGATTCTCTTGTGTCGCGAGCCCCGACTGGAGACCAGGGTGAAGCACATCGACGTCCGGTACTTCCTCCTGCGTGAGCTACAGCGACGCGGCCAGGTGCGCCTGGACTTTGTGGCCTCAAGAGGCCAACAATGCTGACCTCTTCACCGAGGCCTTGGCGCCCGGTGATCACCACCGATTCTGTGTGCAGTTAGGGCTTGTTGGGATAGGTCCTCGGTTGCTGTAGCCTTGTTGCTTGCTCTGCTTGTTGTGCTTTGCTATTATATATATCCTAGTGAACTCTTGAACTGGCCTTGTGGCCGCTTGCTTGTGCTCGGAATTTGTGTGGTGTCCTTGAGATCCACCTTGAGCTTGCTTTGCTTCTTGCATTGACTGGTCTTATGACCGTTTGTTCACCCTACTTGCTTTGATGCCCCTCACTTAGCCTATGGGGGTGTGTCAAATGTTGATATTTGTGATAGGCTGTAGTGAGGTGCTCCTTAGCGAGTACAACTCAATTAGGGTTTGCTATTTGTATCACCCACATTCCTAATCTCATCATTCCGTTGCATTCATCACTCGGAACGTGTAGGAATCGCATTCAGTGTCAGTTTCGTTACAATGTAGTGTAATCAGTGTCCCTTAAAAAAAAAAAAACCTGAAACTTTAGAGTCATCTGGCCCCTAAAGGCTGAAAAATCAGTCCCCCAAAAAGCTGAACACAGGAAAATCAGGGTAGGTACAAAAAAATCCCTGAAAATCAGGAATTTCAGGGAAAAAATCCTGATATCGTAGGGCCTGGTTAAGTCATGTACCAACTCTGAATTTTCAGACTAGCCCAAAACCAATCTGAGGGACTGGTTCGGTCGGAAGACATGGTCGCACCACCATGCCTTCTTGCCCCACCGCTCCTCCTTCCCGCACCCGCCTCTTCCCCCCTGCCACCCACTCCCTGCTACACCCCCCTCACTGCGACGCCAGAGACTCTTGGAGACTGTATGGTCTCACCACCAAATCTTTCATGGTGGGTCGGCACATGGGGTCCTCCTGAACACATTCTTTCACCAGCACATCCAGCATCCGCACCACCATGCACACTTCTTCCACCCGCCTCCTCCTTCCCCAGCCACTCACTCACTCCTCCAGCACCCACCCACTCCCCACTGCAATCCCTCACTGCAATCCCTCACTGCGACGCCAGGGACTCCTGCAGGCTGTATAGTCTCACAACCAAGTCTTTCATTGTGGGTCGGCATCTGGGATCCTCCTGCACACATTCTTTCGCCAGCACATCCAACATCCGAACCACCATACGTTTAGTGGGCTCGGCGCAAGCAGCGCTGAGCTCGTACTCCTCGATGCGCGGCTCTGCCCACGCGATCAGCCCGTCCGCGCCCTCCCTGTCCGCCACCAGCGCTCCCCTCCGCCCCGTCAGCAGCTCGAATAGCACCACCCCATAGTCGAACGCGTCCTTGGCCATGCCATCCGGGCCTGGGGTGAGAAGGGGTGATGGCAGGTGGGATGGGATGAAGAGCGTGTGAGAAACAAGCCTGACAGCCCCATCAGCAGCTCCAATAGCACCACCCCGTAGTCAAACGCGTCCTTGGCCATGCCGTCCGGGCCTGGCGGGGTTGGGAGAGGGGTGAGAAGGGGTGAGGGCAGGTGGGATGGGAAGGAGAGTGTGTGAGTGGAAAGCCCCTCCACCTGATCACAGCTCAAACAACACCACCCCGTAGTCAAACACGTCCTTGGCCATGCCGTCCAGGCCCGGGGGTGGGGGAAACGGGCAGGGCGCGAAGAGCACGGGGAAGGAGTGGGGTCAGGTGGTAGGGAAAGGAGAGAGTGTGAGCAACAAGCCTCTCTCCCCGTCAGCAGCTCCAATAGCACCACCCCGTAGTCAAACGCGTCCTTGGCCATGCCATGCGGGCCTGGGAGGGGGCGAAAGGGAAGGGAGGAGCGAAAGAAATAAAAAGCACGGTCACAATGCTAGCGCGCACAGCACTAAAGTACTCATATTAAGCCAGCGAGTGTAACGTACCTTTGAGGTTCTTGCGTGTGCTGGTCTTGGACAGCATGGTCGCCAAACCATAGCCAGTCAACAGCACCGTAAAGTTCTGCCAAAAAAAAAAAAAAAAAAGACACAGGGAACAGAGTTCAAGAGGATGGGGACGAGAACTTAAGACTCCTGTCTCACAAGACATCATAGCAAGTCAGCACATTGTGAAGCTCTGGAGGGCAATGTGAAGGGAAGAACCCACCGAACATTCACCCAGCCACAGCCAACCTCACGAACTTTCACTGAACTCTCACCCAGCCACAGGAAACCCTAGGAAATTTCATAAAACTCCCACCTTATCCAGCATGATGTTTCTCGACAGCAAGTTGCCTTGGACCACTGCGCCCGGGACATCTCAAAAGCGCCCTGTATACACTAGCGAACTTTCGCTGAACTCTCACTCTCTATCTTATTATGAACTCTCTCACTGAACTCTCACCTTATCCAGCATGATGTTTCTCGACAGCAGGTTCCCATGCACCACTGCACTCGAGTGCAGGAAGGTCAGCCCCTTGGCGATCCCCACTGCCACCTTGAGGCGTACTCTCAGCGGCAAAAACTCTCCCTCTCCATCCTCTGATGCAAGGGGTGAAGAGGAGTGAGATGAGATTGAAAACGGTACAGGAAGGTCAGCCCCTTGGCAATACCCACTGCCACCTTGAGGCGCACTCTCAGCGGCAGGAACTCCCCTTCCGCATCCTCTGATGTAAGGGGAAAGGGAATTATGGTAGTGAAGAAAGAGGAGAGATGAGGGGAAGTCTGGAAGGAAACTGGTAGTTTTCGAGGCACCTGCATTTCAACTTCAAATCGTACACTACTATATGCACAATCTGCACTTGTTAAATCTTATCGAATCTCTTTCTGAAGGTGCAAATTGTGCACAGCACAACATACCTGGGAAGAGGTAGTTCTCAAGACACGTGCAGTTTGGAGAGAGGTCGTAGGCGATCTGCATATCCTCCTTGTCATATACAATCAAATCACTCCTTAAAGGGGAATATTCTCACAGCATACCTGGAAAGAGGTAGTTCTCGAGGCACGTGCAGTTGGGAGGGAGGTCATAGGCGATCTGCATATCCTCCTTGTCTGCTGCATATCCCAGGATGGCTGCCAGATTCGTGTGCTGCAGCTTCGCCAGTGCTGCCATCTCCTTTTGCTGCAGCACACGGAAGGTAAACAAGTGTTCAGAGGAGAGGGGGTGGGTGTGGGGTTGGGGAATGCAGAGGAGCAGAAACAAGTGCGATTTGCATATCCTCCTTGTCTGCTGCATATCCCAGTATGGCTGCCAGATTCGTGTGCTGCAGCTTCGCCAGTGCTGCCATCTCCTTTTGCTGCAGCGAGCAAGGGGAGGGGAGGAAAGAAAGGTGTGCATCACACGTGAACAAGTGTTCGGCGCCCAGGGAAGAGCTAAGTGTGGGGCGAAGAGGGGCGCGTGGAGGGGGAAGGGGGGGTGGGGAGATGGGGGAACAGACAGAGCTGTCTGTTATCTGCCTGTTCGCCTTGTCTGCTCACCATGGCACCCCCCTCATCATGAGGTGACTTTTGATTCGACTCAAAAGTCACCTCTGTCACCTGCCTGTTCGCCTTATCTGCTCACCATGGCACCCCCCTCATCATGAGGTGACTTTTGATTCGACTCAAAAGTCACCTCTGTCACCTGCCTGTTCGCCTTATCTGCTCACCATGGGATCCCCCTCATCATGTGAACCCCCTCACATTTCCCCCCACAAATCAAAGCAGCAGCACTCACCATTTTCCCCTTCCACCCCAGCCCATATATGTGTCCTCTGCTCGCTTCTGACTTCCCTTTACACACTCGCACAAGCACCCATCCCTCAAAATGCTACCCCCTGGGAGCAAAGCAGCAGCACTCACCATCTTCCCCTTCCGCCCCAGCCCATACATGCGCCCTCTGCTCGACTCCGCCTGTGCCGCCACTGGCACAGACCCACCCGCACCAGCTTGCGAAACCATAGAGTTTGTTCTCGCATGCACATGTGCATTCGCATGTGCCGCTGCCGCCCCTCCTCCCCCTGCCGCTGCTGCCGCACCCGGCACATCGGCCGATTTTGACTTGGGGATTGTGGACATGTAGGGAGGAAGAGTGGAGGGCTGTGGTGACTGGGCGAAGTGGGAGGTGTGGTGGTGCTGGGGTGGTAATTGCTGCTGGGATAGCTGTTGCGACTGTTGCGCCTGCTGTTGCTGCTTGTCTAGTTGCGTTTGGCTGAGCCTGTGCCTTGAAGGCTGGTGTTCCTGGGAGTAATAAGCAGAATTAACCGTTTTAGACGTGGGTAACCTCGGAGATAGCATGTCAAACCCTCCCCCTCCCCCTCCTCCGCCTCCTCCCCCTCCGCCCCCTCCTCCTCCCCCGCCGAAACCATCATTCCCTCCACCGTACCCGCCCATACCCTCCTCCTCCTCTAACAAATCAGTAATTTCCTGCATTGATGCGTCACTTAGGCTCCTCGCAGGGGCCCGCCTAGGCCGCCAAAACTCTTTGTTAAACACTTTCATCCCGCTGCTGCCGCCGCCGGCAGCGGCAGCGGCGCGGGGGGAGTAGGAGGGTTCGGGGGTGGTGGGTAGAAGGGGCGACATGGGCGGAGTGAGGTGCTGGTTGTCTCGCCAGGAGCCCCGGCTGCCGGGCTTGGGGGGGAGGATTCGTTGCATTGATGGGTTGGTGCGCGTGTTGATGGGCGGAGGGGAGGAGACTGATGCTGCTGCAGGGGGGAGAGGGGGAGAGGGAAAGGGGAAGGGCAAGGGGGGAGGAAAAAAGAAACAGAAACGGAAGAGAAAGAAATAGGAGAGAGGAGTGTGAATGAGATAGAGGAGGGAGGGGCTGCATGGGCGGAGTGAGGTGCTGGTTGTGCTGCCAGGAGCCCTAGCAGCTGGGCTTGGGGGGAAGGATTTGTTGCATTGATGGGTTGGGGCGTGTCTTGATGGGGGGGGAGAGGACACTGATGCTGCTGCAGGGGGGGAAGGGATTGGGGAGGGAATGGTGGAATGGGAGGGGGAAGGGGGAAGGGAGAGAGCAGAAACAGACGGGAGAAGAATGGGAAGAGGGGAGCGTGAGTGTGAGATAGAGGAGGGAAGGGTGACATGGATTGGGGTGAAGGTTCACAGGTGCATGAGAGGAATTATTGAGCCTTCTAACCACCTCCTGCAGACTTTTGAGTCGACTAAAAAATGACGGGGATCGCTCCTTACAGCAAGTGCGAATTGAAATAATGAGCTGACTTTTGAGTCGACTCAAGAGATAGAGGAGGGAAGGGATTCAAGTGAAGGTTCATGGTTGCATGAGAGGAGTGCTTAAGGCTTTTAACCACCTCCTGCGTGATGGACCGGTCCTTGGGCTGCCGCTGCACACACATGGCTGCCATGCTCACAGCACCACACTGCACCACACTGCACCACCCCACACAGTGCACAGTACCATCCAGCACCGCACAGGACAGCACAGAACCGCTAGGAACGCACCTGCTGCTGCCTGGCGAATGACCTTGAGCCGTCTAACCACCTCCTGCATGCTGGGTCTGTCCTTGGGCTGCCGCTGCACACACATGGCTGCCAGGCTGCCAGGCTCACAGGCACCGCACTGCACCACACTGCACCCACTTTGCACCGCACTGGACTGCACAGAACCGCTACAAACGCACCTGCTGCTGCCTGGCGAATGACCTTGAGCCTTCGCACCACCTCCTGCATGCTGGGTCGGTCCTTGGGCTGCCGCTGCACACACATGGCTGCCAGGCTGGCGAATGCCTGCATCGGCTGCTGGGGGAACGCCTGGGCTAGATTGGGGTCGACTACTGCGTCTAGATTCCCGGCACAGATGGCAGGGGTGGCCTGAGGAGGGATGGAAGGGAGAGAAGGAGAGGGGAAAGAGAGCGGAGGGGAAGAAAGAGAGGGTGAGAGTTAAACCACGCGAATGCCTGCATCGGCTGCTGGGAGAACGCCTGGGCGAGATTGGGGTCACCACTGCGTCGAGATTTCCGGCACAGTTGGCAGGGGTGGCCTGGGGAAGGAGGGAGGGGATGGAATGGGATGGCGAGAGAAGAGGAAAACTTAGGGGCTGCTGGGGGAACGCCTGGGCTAGATTGGGGTCGACGACTGCTAGATTGTTGGCACAGATGGCTGGGGTGGCCTGGGGACAGAGGGAGAAGATGGATTGGAAAGGGAAGCATGAAATGGAGGGAAAAAGAGCGGAATAATCAGGCCTGGGGACACAATACTAGTGCAATCATGGGCGGGAGGGAGGCTTGTTTTGAAACATATACAACCAGTGTATTCATCCACTCACCCATTTCGCGAGTGCCATTCTCTCTCCGGAATCGTCAGCTTCCTTGAGCACCGGAGGCTTGGCTGTGATGAGCTCCAGCATGACGACTCCGAAACTGAGAGGTATGGGGCAAATGGAGGGAGGGAGGGGAAGGGGGGACGATGAGAGAAGTGAGAGTGCTGACAGTGCCTCCTTGAGCACCGGGGGCTTGGCTGTGATGAGCTCCAGCATGACGACTCCGAAACTGAGAGGTATGGGGCAAAGGGAGGGAGGGAGGGGAAGGGGGGACGATAAGAGAAGTGAGAGTGCTGACGGTGCCTCCTTGAGCACCGGGGGCTAGGCTGTGATGAGCTCTAGCATGACCACTCCCCACCCCCCACCCTCACCTGTACACATCACTCCACACGGACACCACGCTGGTCTGGCTTTTTGAGAATTCTCAAAAAACTGGTCTGGCAGTACTGCGGGTCCAGATACCCTAGCGTGCCCACCACCACCCCCTCCATCCCAAGGGCCCTCCGGTAATCTTTCTTACTTTCCCTCTCCTCCCAAACACAGTTGCTCACCTGTACACATCACTCCACACAGACACCACACTCGTCTGGCAGTATTGCGGGTCCAGATAGCCTGGTGTGCCCACCACGCGCGTGTGTGTGGTGGCGCTTTCGTCGTCGCCTATCGATTTGAGGTTGCCGTAGTCCCCTAGTTTCGGCTGGCAGAGTGGTGGGAGGAAAGATCGGTGTGGGAAAGGAAAAAAGGGGAAATAAGAGCATGAGAAGTCGCCTCTGCTCACCACGCGGGTGTGTGTGGCGGTGCTTTCATCGCCGCCTACCGACTTGAGGTTGCCATAATCCCCGAGCTTCGGCTGGTGAGGGGAGGTGGGGGGGAAAGGGTGAGGAAGGTGAGGAGGGCGAGGAGGGCGAGGTGTGGGTGAGAGGATTAGCAAGCAAGGGTGTGTGTGGTGGCGCTTTCCTCGTCTCCTATCGACTTGAGGTTTCCATAATCCCCGAGGTTCGGCTGGTGAAAAAAGGAGGGAGGAAGGACGGGGGAAGAAGAGGGAGGGGGGGGGTTGCCGTAATCCCCGAGCTTCGGCTGGTGGGAGGAGTGAGGAGTGGATGAGAGGGTTACAAGGGGAGGAGAGGAAAGGGGGACGAGCAAGCAAGCAAGGGTGTGTGTGGTGGCGCTTTCATCGTCGCCTATCGACTTGAGGTTTTATCGTCTCACTCACTCTTCCACAACATCACTCACAATCTCTCCTTCTCTCACTCACCTGCAAATCATCATCCATGAACACGTTCAGGCTCTTCTCATCTCAATGCACGAGCCCCCTTTAATGCCTCATTCACTCTCTCCCAATCTCTCTCTTGCAATCTCTCACCCACACACACACACCCTCGCCCTCGTTCACCAACAAATCGTCATCCATGAACACGTTAAGGCTCTTCACGTCTCTTTCGCTCACTGTCCCACGCCCTCACTCACTAAGTCCCCTTCGCTCTCTCACCACTCTCACTCATACTCTCCTCTCCCTCGCATACACACACTCCCTCTCACCATCTCACACTCCCTCATTCTCTCACTCCCTCCCTCCCTCACCTGTAAATCGTCATCCATGAACACATTAAGGCTCTTCACATCTCGATGCACCAACACAGGCTTGCACGAGTGCAGGTACAGCAGAGCCTCGGCCACCCCCACCGCCGCCTCTATCCGCTGCTCAAACGACAGCACCCCCTTCTCCGTGTCGCCTGTATGGAAAAGGGGAGAGGAGGGGGAGGGAGAGAGAGGGGAGAGGGTAATATGGGTCTGGGGGTTGGGGGAGGTAGGCTGCATACAGCAGGTAGCACAGAAGCCCACAAGGCCTGAGGGACAGAAGCACATCTCGATGCACGAGCACAGGCTTGCATGAGTGCAGGCTTGCACGAGTGCAGGTACAGGAGGGCCTCAACCACCCCCACGGCCGCCTCTATCCGCTGCTCAAACGACAGCACCCCTTTCTCCGTGTCGCCTGGTGAGGAAAAGGGAGACCGGGGAAAGGCTTGGGATGGGTTTGAGGAGTGGGGAGGAGGCGCCATATATGGCAGGTAGCACAAAAGTGCACAAGGTGGGGGTGGGGGGGGAGGGACAACCGCACATCTCAATGCACCAACACAGGCTTGCACGAGTGCAGGTACAGGAGGGCCTCAACCACCCCCACGGCCGCCTCTATCCGCTGCTCAAACGACAGCAACCCCTTCTCCGTGTCGCCTGATGTGGGGCAGAGAAAGGGAGGGGGAAGTGGGGCGGAGGGAAAAGGAGGTAGGGAAAGAGCAACCCACCCACCCCCACGGCCGACTCTATCCGCTGCTCAAACGACAGCACCCCCTTCTCCGTGTCACCTGATAAGGGGGAGAGGGAGGGGGAGGAAAAGGGGAAGGGAAGGGAGGGTTGGGGAAGAAAAAGTGCGAACTACGCTCCCCCACAGCCGCCCCTATCCGCTGCTCAAACGACAGCACCCTTTTCTCTGTGTCGCCTGATGATGGCAGAACAGAACCCCATGAGGCCATAACAAGTATGCTTATAACGGGAATAGCTCACCTTGTAACGGGGATAGATGTTGTCTGAGCGTGCCGTTGGCCACATACTCGACCTGCTCCTCGTTTTCATGGAGTATTGCATTGGTAACGAGAATGATTATAACGGATTTACCTTGTAACGGGGATAGATGTTGTCTGAGCGTGCCATTGGCAACATACTCGTAGACCAACACCTGCCCCCCGTTCTCATGGCAGAACCCCATAAGCCAGTAACAAGTGTGCTTATAACAGGAATTTATGCTTATAACGGGGATAGCTCACCTTGTAACGGGGATAGATGTTGTCTGAGCGTGCCATTGGCCACATACTCGTAGACCAACACCTGCTCCTCGTTCTCATGGCAGAACCCCATAAGCCGGTAACAAGTGTGCTTATAACGGGGATATCTCACCTTGTAACGGGGATAGATGTTGTCTGAGCGTCCCATTGGCCACATACTCGTAGACCAACACCTGCTCCTCGTTCTCATGGCAGAATCCCATCAGGCGCACCAGGTTCGGGTGAAGCATCTTGGAAACTGCCTCGATCTGAGGGGATGGATGGGAGGAGAGAGGAAGTGGGGGAGTTGGGTGACAGGGGGAATGGAAGAGTTGCGGGAAGGGAGGGAGTGAAGTGGGGAGTGGACGAAGGACTTCCCTGTGATAATCCTGAAGCAACGTCAGCCCCCCTTTCTTCCCTTGCTTCACAGCCCACAGCTTCCCATCCGGCCCCATGCCCTTATACACAATCGCATTCATCTCCCTTCAACTCCCATCCCATCTTACCTCCCTGTGATAATCCTGAAGCCGAGTCATCCCCCTTTCTTCCCTCGCTTCACAGCACACAGCTCTCCATCCGGCGACACGTCCTTATACACAATCGCGGAGCCCCCCTTTCCTGCCCAACTAATAAATTCTACCCACGCGTATGCCCTGCCTTCCCCCTCCTTCCCTGCCCTTCCCCCCTCCGTCCCTGCCCGTCTCACCTCCCTATGGTAGTCCTGAAGCCGTGTTAGCCCGCCCTTCTTCCCTCGCTTCACCGCCCACAGCTCTCCATCCGGCGACACTCCCTTATACACAATCGCGGAGCCCCCTTCCCCAAGCTGCAGGTCGTCCGCCCAGTTCTTTGTGGCTTCTACAAGGTCCTCATAGGGGATTTCATGTGCTGGCTCGGGCTCGTCCATTCCTGCTTGGTTTGTGGGGTAGAAGGGGGGTGTGAGTGTGACTGGTCCCTCAAGATGGATAGATGGGCAAAGCAAGCCTAGATCGATCTGCTAACCTGTTGTATGAGGCCGTAGCCACTCGTACCTGCTGAGTTCAGAGACTCGAGCCTCTTGGCAAACGATCTCTTCAGCAGAGCATTGTCATCCCTTTTGAGTCAGCCAAGCAGGGCCTTATCATCCCTTTTGAGTCAACCAAGGAGGGCCTTATCATCCCTTTTGAGTCAACCAAGGAGGGCCTTATCATCCCTTTTGAGTCAACCAAGGAGGGCCTTATCATCCCTTTTGAGTCAACCAAGGAGGGCCTTATCATCCCTTTTGAGTCAACCAAGGAGGGCCTTATCATCCCTTTTGAGTCAACCAAGGAGGGCCTTATCATCCCTTTTGAGTCAACCAAGGAGGGCCTTATCATCCCTTCTGAGTCAACCAAGCAGGGCCTTATCATCCCTTTTGAGTCAACTCAAAAGTCACCAAGACGTGCAAGCCCACACTCAGTCATACCTGCTGAGTCCAGAGATTCAAGCCTCTTGGCAAACGATCTCTTCAGCAGTGCCTTATCATCCCCCCCTCCTCCTCCGCCCAGCGCTCCCCCTGCTCCCCCTCCCGCTCCCCCTCCCCCTGCCGCCCCCGCCCCTCCCGCACCACCCCCTGCCGCCACCCCTGTTCCCCCTCCCGCCGCTCTCTTCCCCCTCCCTATCACCTCCCTCTCCCCCACGCCCGCACTGATCCCCTGGTGCTGCGGCCGAGCGGCTTTAATCTCCAGCTTCCCCCCGCCGTCCACCACCCATTGCAGCTGCGCCAGCACCCGTTTCTCTGCCTCTATTCTCACATCCGGTACAGTCACACCCATCAGGAGCCCCTTATCCCGCGCTCTCAACCCCGCCAGCCGCGCCGTCGGCGCCCCGATCGAGTGCAGCAGTTTCTTCACTGAAACTTCACTCGGGATATTATCCACTGCAGACGTCCCGTTCCAAGAGACAAACCACGAGTAATCATTCATGCTGTCGATTCTCACGGCCGAACCCAACGGCTGCTCATCTGCTGCCTTTTCAGCCAAAAACAGCTCCCTAACATCTTCCAACCCATCGTCCCACAGGATAATCTCATCTCCCACCGCCATGACCACCCGCCCGTGCTTCCTCACAGTCAGCCGCGCGTAATACTGCTCCATAGCCATTCCCACCGCCTTCCCCAGCAACGCGTACTGAGCCAGAACCGGCGCGAGCACTATAGCAACCTCATAGAGAGTCCTGTTAGTGGCGTTCCACAGGCTCTCCACCTCCTCTACCATGTCTTCTAGGAGGGCTCTGAGCCGCGGGGTGCCGACGCGGTAGGAGGAGACGGGCCAGGCGTTGCCTGGGGGAGGCTCGTCCAGGTCGCGGAGGGCCTCCGCGTCCAGCTCGGCGCGCAGGGCGAATGTGCGGAAGGCAAAGAGGGCCAGGCGACGGGGATCGCCCTGGTGGGGGAAGGGGAGGGGTTGTGGGGAGGTTGCGGGGGCGATGGGGAGGTTGTGGGAAAGAGTAGAAGAAGGGGGTCGCCCTGGGGAGGGGGACGGAGAGGAGGGGGGAGGTGTTGGGGTGGGCAAGGGGGTGTTAGGGCAAGAGCAGGGCCTCCGCGTCCAGCTCGGCGCGCAGGGCGAATGTGTGGAAGGCAAAGAGGGCGGGGGGAGGTGTTGGGGTGGGCAAGGGGGTGTTAGGGGGAAGAGCCGACCCACCCAACCACCCACCCACCCACCCATCCACCTTGGGTATTCTGTCGAGGCACAGCAGGGCCGACCGCACGCCCAGCGCCTCAGCGCTCACTCTCAGCTCCCTGAGCTCAGTCACTGAGGGTAGGCGCCCCTTGGCGAGTGAGGGGTGCACGTGCTGTGCGTGTTTTGTGTGTGTGCTGTGTACTGTGTACTGTGCAGTGCATTGGGGCGCTGAAACCAACCTTGGGTATTCTGTCAAGGCACAGCAGAGCCGATCGCACGCCCAGCGCCTCAGCGCTCACTCTCAGCTCCCTGAGCTCAGTCACGGACGGCAGGCGCCCCTTGGTGAGGGGGCGCAGGCAGGAGCGGTAGCGCAGGTGCAGGATGCGCACTGCCTTCTCTAGCACGTCCAGTTCCGCACTGTCCAGTTGCGACCTCCCCCCGCCCCGCCCGTTCTCTGTGGGTGTGGGAGCGTGGGCGTGGGAGGGTGGAGCGGGGAGCGGGGAGCGGGGGGAGGGAGCGTCGGGGTGAGGGGGGGATGAGGGGTGCGGGTGAAGGGAGGGATGGGGGTGCGGGTTAGGGGGGGAAGGGGAATGTGGGGTGAGTGGTGTTGGGACGGGACGGGGAACGGGTTGTGGGGGCGCAGGCAGGAGCGGTAGCGCAGGTGCAGGATGCGCACTGCCTTCTCCAGCACGTCCAGCTCCGCGCTGTCCAGTTGCGACCCCCCCCCGCCCTGCCCGTTCTCTGTGTGTGAGGGAGCGTGGACGTGGGGGGGGAAAGGTGGGGGCGTGGGAAGGGAAAGGTGGGGGCGTGGGGGTGGGGGTGAAGGTGGGGGGAAGGGGGTGCGGGTGAAGGGGGGAAAGGGGGGGCGGGCGTGGGAGGTAAAGGTGGGGGGTCGTCGGAATGGGGGAAAGGGGGGTGCGGGTTAGGGGAAGGGAACGAAGGGGAGGGTGGAGGCGGAGACGGGGAGAGAGGGGGCGGGGGGGGCGCAGGGGGTATGGGGAGAGAGAGAGGGGAGGGGGGAGGGGGAGTGAGTGAGGGGGAGGAAAGGCAGGTGGAATGAAAGGCAGGTAGAAGCGGGCGGGAGGCAAATGCAATTTGCGCACTGCCTTTCCTGCGGACCACCCCTTGAGGGTGCACCTTCTAACCCTAATTGTACGCACTTCCTAACCTAATCTCAACTCCACGTAACTCCTGACCCGTAATCCACGTACTTCCTTATCTTAACGCTACATACCTCCTCCCATTCCTAACTATACATACCTTGTAACCCTAAATCAGGTAGCTTGTCACCCTAATTCCACACGATCCCTCCTAACCCTAACTGCACGTACTCCCCCCTCTTTTCCCCAACCACAGACCTCGCAACCCTAACTGAACGTACCTCCCAAACCCAACTCCACGTACCTCCTTCCGGTTCTTCCACTTGTTCCGGGTCATGCAATTGCGTAAATAGAGCATGTAGACAGCTCAGCATCCGGACACGTGGCAGTCCGTCCCCTTCCCCCTTCCCCGTTTTTCCGGGGCTGTATGCTGACATGGCAGCCGTTACAGCACCCAATGCCAAATGCGCAATCCCAAGAGGCGCTCCCAACTGTCCCGAACGTGCTACCGTGCCTATAGGCTCGGCAAGATTCGCCCCGTTGACTCGCGGCTCGGGGAACCATGGCCTTTCCGTCTCTGTATCGCTGCTGTCTGATTGGTCCGCGTCCCCCATCCTCTTCTGGTGCTTATATCGGAACCCGGCGCTCGGCCTGGCTGAAACACTATCTGCCTGCAAGCGTTGTTATACGCTTTGTAAATGTTGATGAGAATAGTAAAGGGTTTCGACGATGATGCTATCTGTATCGAAACCAGCCAATTGCGCCAATAAATATTGCCCTGCTGCTGCGTGGTGGTGGTGCTGCTGCTGCTGCTGCTGGAGTTGCAGACTGCTGGGACCCCTGCTGCCCTAATTGCTGATATAACGACAAGATGGCGGTTGTTACTAGTTACGTAAGTCTTGCGTCTACCGAAAGCTCAAACGGAGTGACGCACGTCGACATCGAGTGTAGCCTAATAACTCCATAACGAGGCCACTGCTGCCACTGGGAGTCCAGCCTAAATGGTTCGCTTAACGAGTATCTAGGGCCAGGAGACTGTCATTAACGCGGATGTGACTATAAGGGATGGATGATGCTGCAGTGACGAATGGTGGGCTTTGCCAAAAGTCTTGAACGAGAGACTTGAATCCGCAACGGGGCAAGAAAGGGCGCCTGATACGCAGCCGTCCGTATCCCCATCGGTGCTCACGTGCCACCGTCATGATGACGTGGCATCGTCACGACGATGTGTCAGCATTCTGAAATGCCGAATCGGCAAGACCATTGGTGGAAGAAACCAATCCAGGCTATTATCGAAGGAACCCCAATGTGATGTGTCCCCGCTAAGTGCGCCCTCGTTTACGCGTGCGCGAGCGACAGGCGGTGTACGACGAATGAAGCTCCCTGTGGGGTCCACGACAGGACAACAGACGCACGAGAACAGGGACGGAGGAGTGCTTGTGGTTCCTCAAAAGGAAATAGAGGCTCGGGACAGGGAGGGAAAGGTAGTGTAAGCCGCGCCTTCATAGCAAGGCCTTTTTCTGGCTAAAAACCGGAGAAAAGTGCGTTGAGAATAGCGGAAGAAGCAAATGAAGAAGAACGAAATCGACAGCTGGGCTGACTATGGAAGTGCGAAGAAGCGGAAGATGAAGAATCAGCAGGGCAATGAAACATTGATACAGCAAACCGCACGACAACGTCACGCCTTCGTGAAACACGCAAAAGTGTACCTCGCTCTGAAGTAGCCTCTAACCGACGCACTCAAGAGAGAGGAGCGAGACTTTCAGTCCGGGACGCGCACTCACGCACTCTCCCTAGATAATGTTAGGGTTCGTACTGATACGCGTTGTGGTCAATGTACGTTGCAAGTAAGGAGGCCAGAAGCTTCCTAATGATAACGATAAATCAGGGACGAAGAGTCAGTCAAGTCGAGTGACTTGAGAGCTTTGAAGAGACAGCAAGAGCGAAAAGCTGGATTAGGTTGGATTGGGAGGATGAGGACAGAAATGTATACTGTTGGTTCCGCCATTGATGAGAACAGCGGAAAGATTTTAGGGGGGAGCACCGGGAGGAGAGGAGGAAGGTTGTGGTACGGTGCTGGTCAGTTCGTACTCTGCGCTGTTGCGGGAGGAAGGATGCATAGATCGTGGGTTGGGGGAAGGGCCTCGGTGAAAGTGTAGGCTCGGAAACTCGCGACTGGACGGGGAAGCGGCGGAATAAGGCGATGAAAAGGGTTGGGGAAAGGTCGTGCACGAGTGGTTGAAAGCAGCAGCTTTGGAGGCGAGATGACGCGCATCGGCAAAAACTTGCGTTTTTCTTAACTGTTTTTACCCAAATTATCGCGACTTTTCCACGTCGGATTATTTCTAAATTTGATCGACCGCGATTGCACATGCCCTTTCCACTCGATTTTCCCGTCCTTCCCCTCCGAAATTCGGGCAGCTGAGTTGAAGAACAGATGTATCACAAACAGTCGCAATTTTAGCATTCTAGAGTACCCCCACACAGGTACTATGATTCTGTATTAAGGAAAAACTCTAAATCTGGAATTTTAAATGGGGTTTAGGTATAGCTGGTTGGCATATAGAGTGTGCTAGTTTAAAAAAAAAACTTTAATTTTAAACAATTACATTTTTATTTATGTGGATTGGATTTATAGCATTTACATCACAAAAATCAGATATTTTTATGTTTATAAATACTTAAAAGAATTTAAGATAAATACTACTGAATTCACATAAATATTTTAATGGCTAAAAGGTAAAATTATTAGAGCAGTTTAGCTCTGTTATTTCTGAAATAATTAGTACAACTAAATATCTAGGTTCTGATATAGCCATTTTTAGCTCTAGGATATAGGGTCTAAGTATCCTGCAGTCTTAAGTCAGGAATTAAAACTAACTTAGTCAGGTAAAATTGAAATTACACAGGTACCCTAGAACGTTGAAATTGCGACTGTTTGTGATACATCTGCACTTCAACACAGCTGCCCGAATTTCGTATGGGAAGGGCGGGAAAATCGAGTGGAAAGGGCGCGCGCAAATGAGGTCGATATAATTTAGAGACGATCCAACGCGTCAAGGTCGCGATAATTTGAAACAATGCAGTTAAAACAAAGCTCTATGTTTGCTAATGCGCGTCATTTCGCCAGCTTTGGTGGACAAACATCGTTGTCCACACCGCAGTGAACCATTCCCGAGGTGCTATCCCTCGAGAATATCCTTTCAGCATTTTCGAGGCGTCTGTTCGAAGTGCCTCACTTGCCACGTTGAACGTTTGACCACAATACGTTTGATACACAGTTTCTGCCTTCGGAAAGTTAGGAGCAGATTTACAATTTCAGCACTGCCTACTCGTGGAAGCCAGACTAACAGGCGAAGTGTGAACTTACCTAAGCTCCTCACATTTGTGCAGTGGGTTGTGTATGGCGTAGCAAGGGGGGACTTACATCAGCTCGTCGCATTTTTGCGCACTAGAACGGGAAGAGAGTGTGGTTTGGAAGTGAGAGGCAGGGGCGGCCTGGTGTTGCGTAGTGCGATATATTCAGTAGTAACGCTTTGCGAATATATGAGAAAGTGATCTGCGCCTGTCACAAATGCCAGTTCTTCACGAACCAGCAGCTTCCTCGCGAAGTGTAACAGCAGCCATCTCGCCTGTGTCAGTTGGATAGGACGGGGAGGATCCCCAACAGCTTTTCGGTTGAGAACAAACACGAGCTTTGGTTGTGTAGTGCCGCTGCATTCTTATAGTTCACCCCCCCCACCCCCCCCCCCCCCCGCCCCCTAGCTTTTATATCTTCCAAGAATATTTCGTAGAATACCATACTTGGAAATGGATTGGTTACATATGCATGTGAACGGCCTAAATCACCTCTTCAAATTAATACGAAATTTTAAATCAATATGCGCTTGAATCACCCATATACCCCATTCTATTTCTAGAAATAGAAGTTCACGTTAATGTCTATGCATTCACTTGGATCAAATAGTCAGGTTCGCCATGTACTGACAATGACTAGGCTTATAAATGTTTCGTATCAATGATATAGCGCGGTTTGCCGCCAATTGGACGGAGGCAGAGAACTGCCTCAAACCTGGGAAGCCTTCGTAGGAAGGAACGTGGACAGACCAAACACGAATCATCGTGCTCTTGCTGTGTCACTCACAGGGGGCTGACCAGACACCTGGAAGTGAACTCAGTTCCGCCACGTGGTCATGATAGTTCACTCAAACCGTCTATTTTCCTTCAATAGATCTGGTGACGTGGTTATTGACAGGTCAGCGTCGCGCCACCTGCTGCTGCATGTTCATCTCCTTTCACCCGTTTCTGTCGCTCATATCTGGGTGGTCATCATGATTCCGCAGTTCACTTGCTTTGGAAGACATTCACCTCTGGTGAACAGACAGGTCGACTCTCATCCCTGCAATCTTTTACCAGCGTGGTAGTCAAATTTCTGACATCGCATCGCTGAACTTCTCTATTCAGAATACTCTGTTCTACCAGTAGCTGTGTCCTCCACAGTGCCATCACTCCGTCGACGCACGTACACTAACGTTTACTCATACGCCATGGCCGCTACCTCTCTTCAGTGCAAGCTCTCGCTTGGGTCTCTCGTGAAGGCCGACGTGTCCCTCCGACAAGGACCCGCTGTCGTGTCATTTCCCCAAAGAGTAAGCTACTGCGTCCCCTAATCACAGTCGTTACCCCAGGAGAGAGTTTAAGTTCGGAGCTTCAAGGTTGAGTATTGTAGTTCAGGGTTAATATTCTAACTTAATTGTGTTACCTCTGACTGGCATTGCAGAGAGTAACTGTGCGTGCGGAGCGAGACGACTACACCGGCTATGTGGAGAAGGACACTGCCGGCCAGGAGAACATCTACGCCGTTGAGGTGAGAGTCAAAAGCTCAAGCTTTGCCAATCTCAGGCTTTGCGACGAATCACAGCTGGACGATGGCAATTGAACTATTATAAATGCTGCTTGCACTTGTTCGAAAAGAGCCTTCCCATCGTAGCAGTCGATACCTGTTGTTGCAATCGTTAACAATAATTTACGAGTTTTTTTGTCTATGTCTATGTTTCGCCTTCAGCCTACCATCTATGTGGGTAACTCCGGCAGCTCCGGTGTAGTCCTGAACGCTGTCGGAGCCGCCGCTGCGCTGGCCGGTG